GTTTGTGCGTCTTCGGTTCTGCTGGTGGTCTGGGGTAGGTGCTTCCATTCCGTGTTGTCCTCAGCCAGGTTCTCCACCAAATCTGGTGCTTGCCTCTTGCAGGATGCTTCTTTAAAGCACCGCTTTTCCTAGCAAGGTTCCCTTAACGCTGTCTTGAAGACCAGCCTTCCAAGTGGCTTTTTTGTTTACGAGAAAAGGAAGAAATGATATTCATGCAGAGTTAGTGTGAATGTAATGGAGTTAATATGAGGAGAGAAAATACGTTACTGCTAAGTAGGCTTACGGCACAAAGCGTGTGCTTCAAGATGCACACAAGTTCTTTACTGTTTCCCGTTCGCTGCTGTTTTGAAATTTGCAATGTAATTTAACATTTAGTTGCCTCAGGGAGGATGTGCAAACCGTTAAGCAGTGCTTGTTAGCGCTAGTTTTCTGTGCGGTCTATATAAACTGGGGTAAATCGTTTTATCACGATTACAGTTTTTCTTCTGCAACCAAGAGAAGGTTGGTTAGGTTTGCCAATACAGTTACATCTGATGTGCACGTATACCGACAGTCCTGTGTGTGGGTGCGTATCTGCGTGTATGAATCTAATTTAACCGAAGTAAAGCACGATCCAGTAGCTTCTTTCTTACTCCTCCCAGAAAGCTGGTGCTACCCATGGAGCTGGCAGTAGGGGAGAATTGGGAACTGGCTATTTCCAGGATAGGTCCTGGGATAATACAGCCCTCGAGAGAGTGGGTTAATGGTATCTCAGAGGCTGGGGAGGAGGGAGCAGCCAGCAAAGTCAGCATCTTCAATGAGCTAAACTCTAGGCTTTGGAGACGGGTTTGGACAGACAGAACCCAGTACTGTTTAGCCCAGGGGACAGATGTCAGGAGGGATTTAGTCTGAGATGTCATGCTGAAGCATCCTTTTTCTGGTCAAGTATGTAGCTTCACAGACAATGATTTTTGTCTTGTTTGGGAGAGCAGTATTTTAGAGTTGCCAGTGTTAGCACAGATCCGATTGGAAGCATTTTGAACGGAACGCACGTAAAAGCAATAACTCCTCCTGCTGCCAAATTTACTTGAGTCCAAGCCCCTTGGTTCCCAGTACTGCTGAGGAAAGCTAAAAACAGGGAGGGCGGTGAATCCTCCCGGTTTGTTTTGAACACGTTGCCAGATTAAAACATCCGGACCTTTTAACTTGGCACAAAGAGTGAGCTGTTTCTCCACGCTTGAATTCTGGGCTTTCTCTCGTAGCAGACTGTAATTGCTGCTGTAACAGGAGCATGCTCAGCATGCATGGGAGAGAACGAACAATGCCTCTAAAGCGGCATTAATTACTATGGGAAAAATTAAAGTTGTGGCAAAGCAGATGCTGGAGAGGTGGATCTGCATGAAGTGATCACCCTCTGTTAATTATTATGAATTATTTATCTCTCAGAGAAGGAAGCTTGGTAAAATTTGATATTTGAGACTTATCTGTTGTCAGAGGGTGCTAGTAATGAATCAAATGGTTTTCCATTGGGGATGATGTGATCGTAAATGCCAAGATGTGGATAACTGATGTCTCTCTAATTCTGTCTTACGCTTCTTTTCTGCTGCTCCTTTTCCCTAGCTGGATTTTGTTCTGCAGTATGTGTTGAAGTTCCATCAGAGACAGAGGCTGTCCAAGGAACGCACATGAAGCTACTCTGTATCTCCTGCATGAAGAGGGAAGAGGTCACAGCCAGCACGGTGGTGGAATGGTTCTACAGGCCGGAGGGTGGAAAAGATGAACCTGTATGTATGTTTGGTAGCTGAGCCCTTGTTTTCATAGGTCTTACTGTGAAACATCGTGCAGTGAACTCATGTGGGAGAAGCCAAAAGGTATTTATGAGAGTGTAAGTTTGTCCTGCGGCAGGATCCCCAGGGAAGACTGTGTGAGGAGAGGAGAGAGACACAAAGATAAACAAAATCTTTCTGTCACATTCTTATTCAAAGTCTATAGAAATGCCCAGCGGGCTGCTTGCATGTCACGGAGGAGAGACGAGCTTGGAGTTGAGCTCTAAGCTGCAGATCTTCACAATTTCTGCAGCATTTTCACCCAGAGGTTCCACAGCACCAATTCTGAGCAATAACTAAAGTGTCTTTTCCTCTCTTAGCTGATGTGTCCACACTTCGACACAGCGTGAACTCCCGGCAGGAAAAGCTAGAATCTGTGGTTGGGGTCAAGCATTTGGGGTCGTACATACATGAAAGCCAAGCTCCAGTTCCACTCCTTGAATACGTAAAGTCTGGTACATAAGGAAGTCAAGAAGGGAAACAGAAGTATGGAGTGACTCTGGTACCCTTGGCCAAGTCCCCCTCCTTAGGACACTTCTGAATCCCAAAGCTGTTCTTTGGAGGTTTATGGGGCTCCGATAAATCTGCAGGACAGGATTTGCTTCTTTTTGCCTCAGAGAAAGCAGTGGTATCCTGACTGTGGGAGGATCTCTGTGAGTTGTTTTGGATCCTTGTCAGGAAAAGGTAAAATTCATTTTCAGAGTGAATCAAAATGGGAATCATACAGACAAGGGGCAACTGGAATTCAAGAAAGAATGGTAAAACAGAGAGTAAGATAAAGGCTGAGCGCACACATTTCTTTCTAGCTGTTTTATCTGAGTATGAAGCATTAGATCAGTGGTTTGCGTTTCATCGTGATTGAGCAGGGCCAGGCAAAATGACAAATGCTCTCCTACAGTCTGAGAACTAAAGGGACTGCGCTAAGGAATGAGATGGGAAATCACTTCTGGCGACCTGGGTGATACATTTGTCAGTGGCAACCCAAAGAATGCTAACGAAAGCCAGCTGGGGTGGGCAGTTTAATGATGGGGACTGTGGTCAGCCAGAAACGTGCAAGAGACTAGGCCTGCGAAAGCCACCCAAGCTCCGTTCTTCTGATGTACCATTTTCACACTGTCATATTTATCCTGCAACACTTCTATTGCAGCTGAATATCCTAGGCCTTACCGAAAGTGACTGTTTGTCTTTGCTGTATTTATTCTGTGGTTCCTTCTCAAGATGATCTGATGTGCAGTGACAGACAGGCTAGGCACAAAGACTGCAGGATCCTAGTTTTTAGTTCCACTGCTGATCTTTTGTGTCATCGTCCACGTGTGTCTCTTTTTCTGTACCTCAGTTTTTCTACCTCTGTAATGGCAATAATTCAGTTTTCTGTCTTTTGTAAAGTGGTCTGAGATTTCAGGGTAAAGGATGATAGAATATGAATAGCTGCTGTTCCCAGGGAAGCCATAGCGCAGAATGTACATGTGTGTAGCTAGGGGATGATGTTGTTCCTTGTGTATGCCTTGGTGTTGTCTGAGGTACAAGTCAGTGATTAATCAGAATACCCTTTCGCATTTCCTCACAGATCTACGAGTACAGGAAAACAAACCATGAATTTCCGAGCCGCTTCAGTGGTCGGTTACAGTGGAATGGGAGTAAAGACATGCAGGATGTATCCATCACTGTGTTAAATGTGACCTTGAACGATTCGGGTATCTACACCTGTAACATCACCCGGGAGTTTGAGTTCGAGATTCACCGACCTCTCTTCACAAGCTCCAGATTGATCCACCTCACCGTGGTGGAGGAGGGTATGGAGGACTGGCAGAAAGTGTGTTGTGCCTTAACTCGCTGTGGGTGTTGTCATCCAGCAACAGAGTTTTTCATGGCATTGCAGGAGAGGGGCGACTGAGCTGCCAGATAATTTTGTCTGTCTTTGCCAGCAGCAAACGCTACGCAGGGTTCAGGAGGAAAGACCTGCATTTTGTTTGCTGGTCACAGCCCCGTTTTAGGCGCAGAGTGGTTGTGTGTGAATGTGGTGTAAGGTACGATAAGCTCGGCAGGCTGGGGCAGCAGCTGGGAACAGCTGGGCAGGCACCAGAAGCAAGCAGAGGTTTCCAGTTTCTCCGCTCAGAACCCGTGGGTCTCCCCTGGCGGCTCTGGGATTCTACAGCACAGCCTTTGCCAGGGTACCTGCAGCATCTGCTTCCTCGCTTCCGCCCCCTCCCTCTTGGAACGACTCGCTCTCCATTTTGATAGCAGTCTCTTGCTTCCGCCCTCCCCAATCCCTCCTTCCCTTTGCAGTGCTCCGGAGTCTTTCCGTTCCTCTTGGTTTTACTCAGTTCGGTGCTGAAATCCCGGCTTCTTAGAAATCAGTGGGAATTCTGCTGTTTGCTTCAGAGGGACAAGAGCTTTTAGCCCTTACCTTTTTCTGCTGTGTCTTCCCTTCCCTCTTTCCCTGCAAGCATCTCTGTGTTTTGATCTCTTCCAAATCACTGGCGGCACAATACAGTCAAGTAACACCAGCGAGTAGGATGCACAAAGGAAGCGGAGTGTGGAGATGAGATAGGCCAACGGTGAGCAATCCGTATGAATGTGTGGGTGGCAGAGAATGCAAGACACGTGCAAGCCTGCGCATGGTTGATTCCGCTGGTAACGCGCAGTGGGATCGCTGCTGGTGTATGCTGTTGGCAGCCTCGCATGTTCCCTCTCTTTTGCCCTCCCCCAGTGTAGTGGCACCTGAGTATCTCTGGCAAAAGGTGGGTTAGGAAGGATGATACGAGGGTGGAAAGTGTCAGCAGAGCTGCTGTGCTCTGATAGCTGCATGTAAATGATCAGAGATTATTTCACTTTCTTAACAGCTGGAGAAGACTTCACCTCGGTCATCTCTGAAATTATGATGTATATTCTGCTGGTCTTTCTCACCTTGTGGCTACTGATAGAAATGGTCTATTGCTACAGAAAAGTCTCTAAAGCAGAGGAGGCTGCCCAGGAAAATGCGTAAGTGTGAAATCTCTCCAGATGTGAGTTGTCCTGCGAGGGTTCTTCAGATGTCTCAGTCCAGGTCAGACGGCAAGAAGACTGAACTTTGGTATTGCACATTTCTAGCTGATGTTTGCTGTGTCTGGAATCATTGCAATATTTAGGACTACCAAAAGAGACAGTGCGCTGGCACAATACACCAGGTAGGGCGGGTGGCCATGGTGCGCGGTATTCCAAAGCGTCCCGGTTTGAACTGTGCGGAGATGCTCTCCTGGAAGGCCTGCTTTCAGAGGTCTGACTCACAGATGCAGCTGACACAGCAGAGATGTTCCAATTTTTATACTGGTCCATTTCCATCTTTCTTACATACTTGGCTTGCATAAGGGTGCTCTTTGCACATGGCAGGAAGGCTGTATGTGTAGGATTTTACAGTAGGGAAGACGCAGTGTCTGCTCCTGACTATGCCGAGGAGAGTTTCCTACTGCGAGCATCTTCTGCAGGTGACATTTGTTACCTTAGACGTACTTACAGGCATTCAATATCTCTGTAAAAATGAATGGACACGAACTGGTTTTTGCACTGTAGCGCTTGAGGTTATGCTTTCCTCCTTCCCTCCCAACTACAGGACAGACTATCTTGCGATTCCATCAGAAAACAAGGAAAACTGCGCCGTGCCTGTGGAGGAATAGCAGAGAGGAGTCAGCAGAATGAACGGCACCAAGGTAGGCGATGGGGAAACGCTGAGTCCCTGCTCGCGTCTGTCAGCCTTTCAGCCTTACTGCGGTGGGTCAGGCGTGCGTGGGGCTGGAGAAAAGGTGGACGAGAGACTCCGGGAGTCTGGTTATGCTCCTTCTCTGGAGTTTCCCCACTGACCCTGGAAGCAATATAGGTATCTTTAGGTGGGGGGTGTACTAATATCTCTTCAAAGCTTTAACCAGCACACAGGTTCACTTTCAGGCCATGGTGTAATTACTCCTCCTCTGCCCATTTCTGTGGACTTGGGAGTAGTCACTGTCCCCTGCAGGTGAGGAAGGGTGCTCAGGAGGAATATAAAGGCACCATATCCAAAGGAAGTGTCTGCTAGGAAGGACTTTGTGTGCAAAAGACAAAAATCTAGATCTTTTAAAGTCTTGTTCACGTCTTATCAGCTGTCACGCAAATTATATCACGATCCTCACTTCTGTAAGGTCCAATGACTCGCGCTCCAAGAGGAATTCTCTCAATTGCAGGGGCTCTGAAGACAGAAGGACCACGTCATGCCAACCAGGTTTGAGGGGGAGCTCTGCGCCGTCGGGAGGAAATTCGGGGAAGTGTAAATTCTCCTCCGTTTGCCTTGGACTCTGTACAGCCTCGACTTTGGCCTCATGACTCCATTCTGAGCTGCCAGCCCATTTGCTAAAGGACTCTTCTTTTGAAGCATGCTGAGCAAAGGGCACCGGGCTGTGGGCAGCACGGCTCCTTCCCAAGTTTCAGTCCCATCATCACATTAATGGCTTTGTAAATGTTAAGTGTTGTTTCTTAGCTGCTGCCACCGCCACCTTTATTTGCTAAATACGCTAGTTCTCCATTGCAGAGGTAAAGGGTATGTATGTCTTGTTACTCTGTCCTGCAGGGCTGGGAATGAGGTCATCTTAGGGTGACGTTCCACTCTATGCTACAGCCCAAGCAGTCTTGTCAGTGTTAAAACAGGAAGAATTCAATTAGTTTGTTGCTTGGTAAGTTGCTCTGGGCTTTGGGCTGCCCGTGCACAGGCAGAGTAGGATAAGGACTGTAATACGTTAGAATTGTCAGAAATGTGTAGTAGGAAGGCTGAGTCCCTGTGCCGTGTTCACACTTGCTGCTGAAGGAGGGAACTGAGATTATAGATCCTGAAGCACTCCTACTTTGGGAAGCAGTATGACGTAAGTATAAGAATCCCCTGTACCCCCTCTCCCTTTCATTTAGCAAGCGTCAAAATTCTCAGTTCCTTCCATTTGCCTTGCGTAGCAGGTTGACTCCTCAAGTCCGCAGAGACACAGTGATAGGAATAACCTGCAGAGCCACGTTCTGTAACAACAGGCGAGCCAGTAGGACAAGGTACGCGGTTCACATGTTTCTGGGGCAACCCTCGAAAGGAAGACAGCCCTAATGCAAGTAGGCAGGCAAAGTAAATAGGATACACGGCCCTCGCAGGAGAAGGACAGACAGCTTTGTAAAATGGTAGTACCTTTTGTAACTGTGGTACCCGGCTTCTCATACTGTAGTGTAGCACCACCTAGAGGAACAGACAGAAAACACTTCTTTTTTCCTAGTTAATCGTTAATTCTTTCTTGTGATAATTAGTCACTGGTTTGAATAGTTAGCATTCATTGTAAACGATCCACTGCTGCACAGGAATCACGCTGTAAATTCAACGTTTCCTATGCAAACTTATCTCTTCAATTGTAGTGGATTAAGCAGAGTGAAATTTGTTTCCTGGCTGCAAATGTAGATCAGTTGAGCTCAACAGCTAGGATTACAAGGAGGAAAAAGTAGGCAGAAACATCGGCCCCGGGTGGAATTGTACCTTAAGACAAAAAGAGGGAAGGTGTTGGTTTGGTTTTTTTTTTTTAATATAGCAGATGTTGTTACATCCCTGCTGCAATGGAGCCTATACTGCTTGCAAGAGTTGACAAATTTTGCTACACTGACCGCTTCTAAGTAGTTACAAAGTGCTTGTGAATCAGGGCATGCTTCCCACCTATGGAACCTCCTCTGCTTTGTTCTGCTGCTTTTATTGTGTTGCTAAAATCACAGAAATTACTCCATTTGTAAGCCAGGCCCTGGCCAGATTTGTAACTGGCAGTTGTTCAAAATTCCTTTTTTTAGAGTGGGCATCAACTTTAGTGAACTACTCCAATGCAGTCTTCACAGTAGGATCGCTCTCAACTCCAGAGCTGAGGCCAGCAACTTGAGTGCATTTTCCAGATGAAGCACACTTGTAGGCTGGGCACTGGCTCCTTAAAACCTAATATTCAAAAGGAGAAAAAAAAAAAAAACAAAACAGACAGTTCCTCTTCTAATTCAGCTGGATGTCTTCACTTTCCCTAGGCCAGCTTGCCTGGCCCTGGGGCAATTTTGGGCAAAATCCTAACTCTAAACTCAACGCCACAGAGGAAGGACTAGATTGTAACTCCACAGCCTCCATCACTGACCATGGCATTGACGCCCACGGTGATTTTTCGGTAAGGTCACGTAGTAACCTCTCTCCCACTTCAACTCTGCTCCTTAGTCCCTGTGAAGCATTGATAACCCTCTGGTGTCATAATGTTAAGTCAGAAAAGGAGTAAACTAAGAACTTCTTGAGAGCTACCTCAGGTGGTAAAGAAGGGCCATCCTCTAGTCCTGCACCTTCCGGTATCTTACACGCATCTACTTAAGATGCTTTTTCTTGGACATACCTTTCACTTTTCCAGTTCCTGCAGGCAGATATGACTATTGCCCTGTGTTGTTCTAGCCAAGAGAAAATTGTGTCAATTTTGCTCAAGATTCTGATGGGGGCGGGGGGAATTGGGATTTTTCAAGGGCGGTGTTAAAGGCATGCTGTGTCCTGGAAGAGATGATCCTGGTTGGTCTCTGAAAAGACTCCCTCTGTATTTGGAAATGACAGAAGAGACTTTACAATAGGCAGGATAATAAAAAGAACAAAGCACTCACGAGTTGCGCTGTTTGATAGATTTTTATTTTTTTTAATTTATACCGTACTTCCATTGTACTAGCTACTTTACATTAAGTTTTGGCTGCATAGCCTTTACAATTCCTAGGTTCTAGCAGATAAGTTTCATTATTGTTTTACCGCATTTTGCGCACAGCGCAAAGTGTATGACAGTTAGACAACTCCTAAAACAAAACCACGGTTCCTCCCCCACCCCAGCCTAGAGTTCACAGGCTACAGGCGCATCGCCTTGGCCAGCAGCTCCCCACTTCCCAAGCTCCGATGGCAAAATCCAGAAGGGAAGCACACGCCTGTGGGTGATTGTACGTCCCGCTCCCATCCCTCGCTGGCGCGAGGTGATCCTCGTTAATTTGCAGTTACACACAGCAATTGGGGTTGCAGGATCCAGGGCCTCAGGTGGGGAGAACACGCTCCAGGTGTTTAGCAGCTTTATCCAGCCCTGAAGCGTGCGATGGGAGATGAACGGCCACGAGAACGGGAACGTCCCAGAGGTGCCGCAGCCAGACGATGCCACTCCTGGGCAGTGCTGCGACGGTTCTGCTGCTCCCCTGACCTCGTCGGGCCAAGAGCCAGGTTAGTGCTTCCGTTATCTGCTCTGTTCAGGGCTATGACAAGGGAGGTGGGCTTGCGAAGACGGGGAACGATGCATGTGTGATACAGGCTCCACTTCTTTGCTGGATAAAGCTGCCATTTTGCAACAGCCGCTCTCCCAAATCCTAATGCCACTGGGGCAGATTGGGCCGAAACGGAGACAACGACCAAATGGCTCTAGAACCTGAGCTGCACGTTGGTTTTATTCCCTAACTATTCTTGGGGTTTAGGTTGGGGGAGGTGGCCATTTAATGTTAGCAATGGAATTGGCCTAAATGAGTGAGGTAACAGAAACGGCCAGAGAAGGTACCTCCCTGAGCCATGTGCAAATATAATTCCTTCAGCAGAAGGAAGTCCTTTTCCCTACTGAAAAAAATTAAAACACATTCACTTAAAGAGCATACAGACTGCGGCGAGGAAAGGCAAGCAGGGACAGCACCAGGTCAGTCTGTCTATGACACGGGAATGATTGTCTGGCAACAAAGGTGTGAGGGGAGAGGAAAAAGCCATAGTGAGCGCTGCAAAACGTGTGGGAGAGGAGGGCATGGCACGCCATGTACCCATGCTACAGGTTACGCCCATGCTGTCTGGCTAGATCAGCAAATAATCTGAATCGGCAGTCGATCAAGAGACGAGATTATTTGGCCAGCATGCACATCTAGAAACAGAAAGGTATTATGGCACAGAGACACTCGTGCTGTAGAGACTGCGAAGCGTAGAGATCGGAGCATGCCAGGCAGAGGGGGAATGGGCCAGAAAGTCAGCAGTCGTGTCTTGGAAACTACACTGAGGCAAACGTTTTGTGAGCCACTTACCTCAGATGCTTTGGTTGAAAAGTCTCTGTTTCGAATATTGTTTTAAGCAAGCCCCTGCCAGGTATTTTAACTAGTGCCGAGACTGTCTGAAAAGACTAAGCCAGGGTCCACGTGACTGCGCCATGAAACGTATTGTGGGCAGCAAGCCTGGCAGAGATCCTGTCGGAAAGATCCCTTTGGAGTTC